TGGATCGTGATCAAACCGAGCCGAGTATAATGTAAGCAGACAACGAGAAAAAAAAGTCTCAACGTATGCTCCGAAACTCGATCTGAGAATAAAAAAAGATTCATCGAACAATGACTATGTGAAATCGACAAATTTCTTTCGGGTTTAGAAATTCGTGGAAATACTTTCGATTTTCAAAGATAACAATAAGCTGCCCGTTGAAAATATTAAACAATCATAAAAGGCTTGTTACGACATCTTAAAAGATTTTACTACAAGCTTTTTGTTCCTTTAACCTTAAAATATTTCTCTTTTATGTACCGAATTATCCAACAACAGATTAATTAAATACAATTTAATTCAAAATTTTTTAGTGAATTTAATAATCTAGTAAATTCTATTAACATTTGTTGGTAAAATCTTGTTTGTTTTTATGTTTTATTTTCAAAATTGTTTCACTTTTGTATTTATCTTTTATTTCCAAAATTATAATTATGACCCGAATTAACCAACAATAGATTAATTAAATACATTCAATACAAAATTTTTCATTCGACTCAAATTGGGAAACAAAATTTTTTAGTGAATTTAATAATCTAGTAAATTCTATTAACATTTGTTGGTAAAATCTTGTTTGTTTTTATGTTTTATTTTCAAAATTGTTTCACTTTTGTATTTTTCTTTTATTTTCAAAATTGTTTCACTTTTGTATTTATCTTTTATTTCCAAAATTATAATTATGACCCGAATTAACCAACAATAGATTAATTAAATACATTCAATACAAAATTTTTCATTCGACTCAAATTGGGAAACAAAATTTTTTAGTGAATTTAATAATCTAGTAAATTCTATTAACATTTGTTGGTAAAATCTTGTTTGTTTTTATGTTTTATTTTCAAAATTGTTTCACTTTTGTATTTATCTTTTATTTCCAAAATTATAATTATGACCCGAATTAACCAACAATAGATTAATTAAATACATTCAATACAAAATTTTTCATTCGACTCAAATTGGGAAACAAAATTTTTTAGTGAATTTAATAATCTAGTAAATTCTATTAACATTTGTTGGTAAAATCTTGTTTGTTTTTATTTTTTATTTTCAAAATTGTTTCACTTTTGTATTTATCTATTATTTTCAAAATTGTTTCATTTTTGTATTTATCTTTTATTTTCAAAATTGTTTCACTTTTGTATTTATCTTTTATTTCCAAAATTATAATTATGACCCGAATTAACCAACAATAGATTAATTAAATACATTCAATACAAAATTTTTCATTCGACTCAAATTGGGAAACAAAATTTTTTAGTGAATTTAATAATCTAGTAAATTCTATTAACATTTGTTGGTAAAATCTTGTTTGTTTTTATTTTTTATTTTCAAAATTGTTTCACTTTTGTATTTATCTATTATTTTCAAAATTGTTTCATTTTTGTATTTATCTTTTATTTTCAAAATTGTTTCATTTTTTGCAAGCCTGCTCTTTCTAATAAAATAAAAGAATACAATTATTGTAAAATGTCTGATCGACGAAACAGTATAACTATATAAAAATCTGCAACAGTAGATAATGCGAGTCGAGGCTATCAAACTCTGTCTACGCGATACTCTTGGCATAGCTGACGTCAGTGAATGATTCATCGCAAGAATAAGTTGTACGTTTTTCGGTACTAACACGAGTTGTCGATCCAGATAAAGTAACGATTGTTCGCGATAGTAAATGATTCCAACAAAACCAGATTTATAATTCCAGGTCGATATAGTCCCATTTAACATTTTGGGACTCCAAGCTGAGAAAATGAAGTCCCTTTCCTCCCATCACTTACCAGGTCATCCTCAAACTCGTCGCCGTCAGTATCAGAGTCCGAATAACCTCTCAGCTTTCGAACTTTCTTTTTCACCTCTTTCTTCACCACCCTCGTTATTGCGTTTTCCGGCTGCGTGTAATCATTTTCATCGTTAAGAAATAAAACGTTTAGTCCGATACAACAATTCTTTTTTTTTTTCAGTTCCAGAAAACACAATTTCAAATTAAACAAAATGGAACATGACCCACGCGCTCCACAAGCAGTAGCCGGTTGAAATATTAATAAATAGGAAAAAGATTAGCTTCTTCGATTTCGAGGTTAAAAGTAAACTGTGAATCTTTCTATTGAAATTATCTACAAAACAAGATACGTTACGATACGTAAAAAAATATTTTTAATTTTAGACTGATATATTTATCAGTTTCGGAGAAACTTTTATCTAAATATTATTAACTATTGTCTAACGGAACTTTTAAACCGTCCAGGACCGAAAGAGTCAAAGGATGACATGTTTTACATTTATTTTATTTATTGTTTATGTCGTGTATATATGTACTATTAGCAAAATATTCGTCGCTATCTTTGATCGTAAATAACATAATTACGTTATCTAATCTCTAGTTCTGTTAAGAAACTGCACAAATAAATAATGGAACGAACGATTTTTTTTTCTCCAAAAAATTATATCATAATTACCAGTCCCCGACATATAATAAACGTTTACAAATTCTTTTCTTTTTTTTTTTTAAGTCGCCAAAATCACGTATTTGAATTGATATTAACTTTGATTCCTAGTTAAAATCGGTACAATGATCCGAGAGTTCGATCGAAATTTAAATAATTAGCACAATACGTGTCATTACATCGTAAGAGTTATATAATGGACTTTACGCAAACTGGTACGTCTATCAATTTTAATGTTCCATTCTTACCTTGAATATTTATCCTTAACACGTGCAACAGTTTAAGATAAAAATATCATTAAGGAAAAAAAAGAACACGGATGATGTGGTCATGTATAATCATATCATCTAGTCTCTGCGTACTGTACAGGAAAATACTCTTCTCGCAGAAAAGATTTCAAGTTGCGTCTAACGAAACGCAGGGGGAACACCGGTTCGATGATGTATTCGAAACGGTTTTTCCAATACCAATTAGGGTAACTTAAAATAAATCTTACAAGTTATACTCCCACTACTTCAAGATTCTACTAATTCTTTTCTCACATTAAAGACATTGAATAACGTGACGAATAACACGAAAATATATTTTTGACAAATAATTAAATAGTAACTCGGGCCTAACCCTACTTTCTGCAACGAACATTATTCTATTCGTCACTTATATTCCTTATTCATTTTCGATTTTTCTAAAAATAATCAAGCAGAAGCACCGCGGTATTTTAAAATTGATCGTGTTTAGTCGGATCGCAGAAATGTGAAAACAGAAGAAGAGAAAAACAACTAGACAATAAAAGTCCAAACGCGACTGTGTCAAGGTGAAGGCGCGACTACATCAACCGCACGGTGAAAGCAGGGTTATCTATACTTGGGCCGTAACTGTACTTTGAATTCAGTATCGCACAATACAAAAATACATTTTGGTAAGATAACGCGTTTAAAATGCGATAAAAAAGATAATAATTCGCTTGATATTTATACTCGAAACTTTAATTTACAATAATGCGTGGGTTGAAATGGAAGCCGAGTAAAACCAGCGTCATTTTTTCCGTAATTAATTTTTACGAGAAAAATACTATGCGAACTTTCTCTTCGAAAATTTTATTCTCGAAAGAGTCATCGAAACGAAAGTTAAAATTTAAGACAGAATTTACGTGAATGTGAAAAGTTAAAAGATTAGAATCCAGTGCGAAATTCAGCCAACCAAACGTACGGGCCGAAACTACAAAAGTCGATGACATCAGCATCCGCCGTGTTACAATATCTCCGTAGATCATTATTTCACAGAGTTGACGTAAACGTACTCGACGTATCCGTTGCATTAAAATCAAATCGAACACGACCATTTTTTTTCTCTTAATTCGCTGTCGTTACTACATGCCACAAAATTATTCGTGACGAAGATGAATGGAATAATAAGACAACAAAGTACTCTCCAACACAGTTTTACACAGTTGGGAAATGTACAGCTCAATATAACAAAATTGTATAAAAAAAATGAAGGCTTATATTGAAAATATTCGGGCGAACTATTTACTATAATTTGTACACGATTGAAAGCATGCGCCTCATTAAGTAAAATTACTACAAATATAGATTTCAACCAAAGGATGGTAGTAAACGAGTTGAAATACACAAACGTTCCACTGCGAACAAAATTGAGTCATAGAATAGATTGCAAGTAGAACGTCAAAAAATAGACAGTAATTATTTAAAAACAATACTGGAATAGATGCAAGAAAGAGTTGCCAAAGTTATAAAACGAAGTATCCTGCTAAACAATAATCCAGAAGAATTGTTATAACTCGTTTATCCGTGACAAATCCGTTTTTATGATTTTGTTATATCGAATTGCAGATTATGTTTCCAAACAAAAAAATATGGGCAAGTCCTTTGTTGTATTGTTGATGCGAACAATCTTGTGACTAGTCGTAGGTATACTTTATTTACATTTCTCGTAAGCATTAAAGCCTACTCTTACAATAATTAACTTCCAAACGCATAAGTGTTTAACTATGCAAACACGTAACGTGTTAAATAATCAATTACATACATTGTACATATATCTTGATTCGTGCCTTGTAAAATTTTATCTCGTAGAAACAAGATATCTTCAATGGTGCACTTGCTACGAATAACAGTATCGTTTCTGTTAATTTATACTAAGCAAGGAATAATACCTTTGCGTATGAAAGATACGCAACGAACATTCTGGATCGAAGCAACTACGAAAGCTTTCAGAACCTAACCCAAATTTCAATAAAATGGGGGGGGGGGCCACTGATTCAATCAATGCTGAAATTACTACAAATAACAGTATCATTTTTTCTAATTTATACCAAGCGAGCAATAATACTTGATGTACGAAAGATATATGTACACAGGACATTTCGGATCAAAGCAAGCACGAAAGCTCTCAGATATCCAACATGGCCCAAATTCAATCACATGAGAGAAGGGAGCCATCGCGAGCGATTAAGTAAATCGCAAGATAATCGGTATAATAAGTAACGAGTCATCCTACCTTCTTGTACAGTTTAATCCACGTCAGATCGCCCTTGTTGTCGGTGTACTGAAGCCCGAAAAACCACACCTCGCGTAGTCCGATCGTTTTCACAACTTGGTCAAAGAGTTGTTTCCCGGTGGTCGTCGTTTGGATCGCGAACTCCAGTTCGGCGTCCATCGTCGTCACCCTGACGTTCATCTTCGCATACGGGGAAAAAAGAAACGGAGATAAGTGACGTGGATTAAACTTTGGCGAACGATGTCAACCGGTAGATGCAAAAACGGCGCTTTTAACCCTTTATGCATTTCACAAAATTATTTCCCAAACGGAAGGTATAAGTCACTAAGCGTTACGATTATAAAGAGTGAGCATATAATCAGTTGCAGATCCGAGAAAATATTTCGAGAAAACGTGTACCACCGGCACGCTTACCATTTTAGCACCGACGACCATGGCTGCGACGATACGCGAACTTGCGACGCGAATTCAAACGAATGAGAAATAAACCGTTGTAGGACCGACAAACGTCCACTTGTTACGATGCTCGGGCACAAATGATCTCTACAAAGCACGGAAAAGTTAAGAACACGACGCTTGGAAAGAGTAACGAACACCCGTGCAGCGAGATTTTCGACTGGCTGTCAGCTTTTGCCGGTCTCAGGTCGGACAATGGGCCAAGGGGCAAGTGCAGCCGGTAGCGTCTTCCCCCTCCCCCCGCCCCCCCACTTCTGCGCCATGGACAGTGCAACCATCATCCCCTCTCTGTTCAACTCGTTGGTAGAACCCGTGAGAGGAAGAAAGAGGATCCGAAAGTGATCACGTGAGGAAGCCGGTCGTATTGTCGCAGCCAATCAGCGTTCGCCTGAGATACCGACTGCGCGAAAGAAACGAACTCTCTTCAAAAACGGTTCATGTCCGTTTTGATTGGTCCTTTAAGGAAGAGTGTCACATAAATAATGAATTATTATTTCCGATTTAACAAATCTGTACCAACAAGTTAAAGATTTACGTTAATAAATGCAATAATGGAAAAATTTTTTTTTTTACCCATTTTCTCCTGCAGCTTTTTTCTAAATTTTCAGATTTTTTAAATTCCCTTTTGTTTGTTTCTATTCTCTGTTAAAAGAATTGTTTTTCAATCAACCATTAGAGGAATTTTATTGCATAAAATTTGCTTTGCGAAACGTTTTTCCTTTGCAATTTTAATGATCATGCACAGTTCAAGAAGTCAGATAATATTTTTGGATAATCTCTGCGATGCCCAACAGATGAATCAATTACAATACTTTCATTCTCAGTCTCGTTAGCATTTTAATACATAATATTATTATTAATTAAAGTCTTATCTGTTACTATCACTGCATCCGCACTCTTATCTCTAGTATTATTACTTTTAGTATTACAAGTATTACTTTTGCTAGTACATATGAAAGTATTATTCAGTATTGATATATTTAAATTATCAATTTCAGACACATGAACTACATTAGCTACTTTGCTATTATTCAAAAAATTATAATTTTTTGAATCATCAGTATTATTATTTGATATAATTATTAGGAAATCTATATAAATAGTAAACAGTAATAAAGTATATCTTTCGAATATTAAATAAATATTAAACAGCACAGAACCATCATCAAATAAAAGGCCAATCACTGTCATATTGTCAACATAACCTCAAAAACCAGTCATTGGCCGTTCGGCCAATGACTATTATTCAATGCTATTTATATGACCAGTTGATCGCCATTTATAGTTTTATTTATCTCAATATGAGAATACCTCCTCTTTAAAAATTTATTTTTAAATATTTCGTTTAGTTTCGACTAATCTTGTTACTTAATATATGTATAAACATGTAAAGATTGTGAGATCAACTGTTCATGATTAATAATCCCGAAAATCATTAAATCGATTTAATTGCTAGCTTCCTTATAATCTCTGCAATAGGTTATGTATAGTCATTGTATCTCATTAGGGGACTGAATGGTGAACAAAAATGTACCTAACTAAAAAGACTATCATACGTTACATTTAACATAAATATTTTTAAGCCATGATACCATTTCAAAAAAAACGTTTCTTAAATTGAAACAAATTATTTTTAATTGTTCGTTTATTTGAAAATTTATAATTCGAACAACAGAATTACTACTTTACAAACCATACATGAAATACTTAAGAATAATCTGTTAATATTATAAATATAGTGCAAGCCTACAATAATTGTAACGATATAAAGGTAAAAAAAAATTAATTTTAAATATAATTCATTTATAAAAAAAAAAAAAAAAATGTACGTACCGGTGGCTTGGGCATTATGGCAGCTTTGTTTTCCTGTATTCAACAGTGAAAATATCCGCTATAATAAAAAACAACAGTATTAATTAAAAATTTACGCTACATCTTGCGATATTATATCTTGCGATGCTAGGTGTACATTCTTTATGGAGAAATTATTTAGCAAAGGAAACGTTCCCAATATTCTTTTAATCGTATTCAAGTCGTATTCTACTCGAACAAATATCGTTTGAAATATCGCCTTCAGGATTTATTTTACATTGGACGACGAATTGTACAAGACATTAAAATAGAAATAAAATTGGTACATTGACAATGTACTTTAACATCTTTCGAAAATAGTATTTTGAAAAGCATATTACAAGATATTAATTTGTTAATAAATATTGACAAATCGACATGACAATAACCCTTATTGGAAAAAAGTAATTGGGGGGGAAAAAAGTGGCACGTATCCATTCGAGAACTGCATACATGTCTCCATATTGGAAGAAGAGACAGGTTATAATGTAAATCCGCGTGACCGACATCCGCTGGCAGAAAGGAGTGCCTGTATAGCGCGTCTAGCATTCTCCTTTTATCTAGGACCACCACGTCCGTTGAACCGTTGGTATCTCCTAACTTTTGTCAGCGACGGGGGAAAAAAAAGAAGATTCGCGTGACGTATCCGTCCAAGTTTTCAAGAAGCACGGAGATAGAAAGCATCTATTAATAAAGTTTCCATTTCCGACTGCTGCGTCCGAAGTCCAAAATACTCGTCGTAAAATCCATGTCCACGCGAATAGTATGCCGTATTCCCCGATTACTGCATAAATTTACAATTTATTTTTACTTTGATTTATAACGTTAACACCGTCTACACGATACAGCATGTTCCAAAGAGGAATAGACTCGAGGAAATATAAATACGCGAGATGTAATGCGTTAGAAATATCCGAGTAAGAAAAAAGAATGAGAGGAATGTCATAATAAAACAAAGGACTTAAAAATGTATTTCAAGGTTGCTCATTGACGCGAATGTACGCTGTTTCGACGGTAAATTGTACATCGGTCGTGAACCTTTCGTAAACGTTATTTACTAGTCTGTATAAGTTTAAAGAAAATTTGAAATTAATTTACCGAAAGTTCGATCGTAAGTATGAGAAACGTTCATGTTACAAGTGATTGCTGAGCGTAACTAAAAATGCGTAAGATTGACAGAAATGTAAGCATGTATATCTGTCTGTCGCTTCATTTTACATCCAAGGAAAGTAACACGCTAAACGTCTTACAAGAACTCTGATATTTCACATTAAACTTTTAGTGTTTACATGTCAATGATTATATCGATATAACGTCGATTGATCAATTCGTTCCGTCCAATAATTTATTATTTATATACGCTTAGAAACTCTTCTTCATTTGCATGTTTACGCCTTCGTACAAAAAAAAGTTGGGACGTGGTACAATGTCACCTTCGGTGAACGAAATTATGTGGGAAATATATTTACGGAACTACCTACTAGGCAAATGTAACCAGCATAGAACCAGGATGTGAAGAAAAATGTAGCCGCAGAATAAGTTATCGAAGAGCGATAAGTGACGATTTTATGATTTAAAAAAAAAAACTATTATGTAGGTTAGTAAGTAAGAGGTTAGTTTCCTATAGCAAAGAAAGGAAACGTATGCATCGACACAATAATATTGAATAATATTGAACAAGTAGAATCTCAATTTTGGTTATGAAAAAAACAATTTGTTTTAAGATTCGTGAAATATACTTGTATGCCCGTTCGGTACTGAGCAACAATTAGTTGTATGGAACTTACAGTATTGTGATTATAAAATATGTGTCCTATAACACATGTGCCACACATTCACAGTAAGCCAGTGGCACTTGCACTTGCACTATACCCGCAGTAGAAAATGACAGGAAATTGTATGTTCCACACCCTAAAATCCTGTCACGTTCAGACAATACTGACACCTCACTGATAATATGGCTGCCGCCTACCCACTCGGTCGCTCAATTCTCCCGATAGAGGGGGAAGTCATGAACTATATGGATTTATGATAGACAGAATCCTCGACGAAAATAAGCTCAATTTCATAAATATCTTTTGGAAATATTATAAATGATATTATAGGATAAATTAAACAATGTTTCTCCTATTATTTAATATTTTATGTACATATTATAACTGGGTGAAAGACCCAATTACTGTCACTATAAGCTAATTTTGTTCAAATTAGAATTTTAAGTGCGAACGAGTAGAAACCTACAATCAGTTACGAAAGTTTTCGTACACCCACTAAAACGGTTGTTTTAAAGAAAATAAGAAAAACAATTTCATATAATATTATGTTTATTTATTAATATGTACAATATTATTAATTAACCTATATAAAACTGTATTATTTTTTAAGAATATTTTATGCAATAAGAAAAAAGCGAAATATGTATGTCACAAAAGTGTTCGTACACTAAAATATGAAGTTAGTACATCTAGTAAATCTAGTAAATTTTTGTTACATTAATATTTTGTCGGTCCTCCTTTTGCCTTTAAAACTGTTTTTAATCTTCTTGGCATAGAATTGACTAATTTAGTTGTAAAATCAGACGGATTTTTTTCCATTCCTCTTCCAATGCAGTTTTAAGGCTTTGATTATTTGTTATCTTATGCTTTCTAATTTTGTGTTCCATATAATCCCACACGTGCTCTATAGCATTCAAATCTGATGATTGAGGCGGTGAAAAAAATTGTTTCGGGACATTGTACAGTATTGTACGAAATCTAATTGTTTTCCAGTTCTTTAATTCTAACAGTACCGAATAGTAGAATGTTTTCTGCCTATAATGTTAGCAATTTCACGTAGAGATTTCTTCTCCTTATACAATTTAACAATTAATTCCCGCATTTCAACATTTCAACGCTTGTTTCTCTCCTAGAAGCACTCGTTGTCGCTAAATGTTAAACATCTTTCAATTAAATCACGACGTCATGACAACATAAACAAAACATTATCGGATAAGCCCAGGTATTATGTTTCAAAAATTTATTAGATTTATTAGATTTACTACCTTCGTATTTTAGTGTACCATTCTTCCAGGAGAAGAAGGCACAGTGTGTTTACATCCCCACTTCTGTTGCAGCCCGCTGACTCACAGGTATTGGTCGAAAACGGTGACGAAGATCGATGACAGCCAATCAGCGGACTGCAGCAAGAGTGGGGATGTAAACACACTGTGCCTTCTCGTGGAAGGACGATACGAACAATTTTGTTACATATTTCGTTTTTTCCTCATTGTATAAAATATTCTTAAAAAAAAAAAAACAATACATTTTTATGTAGTTTAATTAATAAGATCATACACAATAATAAATGTATATAATATTATACGAAATTGTTTATTTTCTTTAAAATTACTATTTTAGGGGGTGTATGAAGACTTTCGTGACTGATTGTATGTTACAAACGGTCGTTACAAAATAAAGTCTGTTTTACTACCTCGTTTACAATTATTTTAAAATATCCATAGTACCTCACGATTGTTTGAGGGTCCGTGAATTTGTATAGGGAATTATTAAATATTTATTCTTGTCGGATATGTTCCATTTAAAAATATTAATATAACCCTTTAACCCCTAATTACTATCGGAAGTACAGATGTAGTTGAAATTCAAAAGTTTCTATAAATTTCTTTAGAGAACGAAATTTATTACTATCTAAAAACTACTATGGAACATCTTTTCGGATTCTTGACTATTTAACGGTGTTCTGTTTTCAAAAACCTTCATTTAACTAATATTTTAAAACGAGCAATTTCATTCGCGCGTCAAGGGTCTGCAATAAAGATTAAAAAAAACACTGCAATACTATTTCGTAGGTGTATTATTACGACACTGCAGTCTAGGTTTTTCCATTCTTGCGATTGTAATCTTCTAACAGTGAATGGTCATTAAAACGAAAAACTTATCTTTTGGCTTGCAAATAAAATCGTACCACATTTAAAAATTTTCTGTATTAATAATTGTACTTAAACACTTTCCATAAACATTGTACCTACGAGAAATGTAAGTAACGAGCGAAACGACGACTGTTACGTATTTTAGTAAAAGAATAAATTCTTATCAGCTCATAATTGAAATTTGCTGCATTTCACTTTCGAAGTCGTTCTTGCGTTGTTGATTTGTTACTATTCAGATCCATAAATACTGTCATGTTTTAAGCTACTTAAATTTCTTCCGTTTCTCTTAACCTAGCCCGCTTAAATTCAGATTATGACAGGATAAACAGGTACAATGAATAGAACTTTTTTCCAAGTACGTTGTATTAAACGTAACATTTTACGCAATGTCATCTTTAACTATAACTTTACGTTTAAATACAATTTTATGTTTCTGTGTGCTTTGCGTCGAAACGTTAAATAATATATCAATAATATACGATGTTTCTAAAGAAATAAACCGATATATAAAAATAATGTTCTTCTTTTATAAACATGTTTTTCAAACTTAACAGAGGATTGTAAAGAACGTTATTTTTAGGATATACCACATGTTTTTCATAAATAGCATGTCCCGTCTGCACCTCTGATGCTTTCAGTTTGAGAGAAACAGAAAAATATGGTTAGTCGCCGATATACCTGTTTTCAGCCAAACTTTATCATCGATACTTACTACTTTACTATATGTATAATGTTTTAAAAGTATGTGTAACTTGGCATGCACCTAATTTGCTTGAAATTTTTAAAATCGAGATTCGATCGTTTCTTCGGACGTCAATTCAAGACTCATGTTTCTAATGTATACTTAATTAAGCAAAACAGAAGAAGTTGTAGCATGAGGTACAATTGTTTTATTTTTACCAAGAATTAACGTTACGATACATTATAAAGGTATTCTGTGATCAAAAAATGAGACTAAAATGTTTTTACGAACATAAAACTTTATATATTGTTACATGACAGTCTAATCTTATTTTTACATCAATGTTAGATTCATTTGTTTGCATCGTAGTTATTCATTGTATTAGTTGCGTCTATTTTTAAATTTATTCCGTTAAAAATGGTAAACGCAATACAACGCATTAATTTTATTTTTTATCTTCAGATATAGTGCATGTTTAATATTTAAAAGCCAAGTACATGTATATAACTGTAAACAGTATTATATTTACGATATTCTGTATTGTAAAACAGTACAAATATAAATAGAAGAAAGCAACGATAATTATGATTTCTGTATCTGTATTTGCATAGGCAAACTGGACCAAAAAGCGACGTCTGGCTTGTGAGCCTGTTGTAGCAGAGGAATATCCATTACTCGAAGTAATAACAGATATGTTTTGCTGGGGTAGTAATATAAGCGGGGAACTGGGTTTAGGTGATATCGAGGATAAGAATATTTTAACACCCCGTGAAATAAACTTTAAAACAGCAGGGGAAATTGAACAAAGTAAGAGTTAATTCAACCAAAGTGCACGTAACAATTTTTTTTTATAATCATCACCTTTCAAATAATTTTACCGTAGTTGCGTGTGGTGAAAATTATACGATAGTTATTACCCGTGATGGCCAAATATATTCATGTGGAACAAATGATTCTGGACAACTCGGCCATAAGGGAAGTAAAAGATTGCGTAAGTATGAGAAACGCGAATCCTTGAATTAAGTAAACCTAAAAATTTGTAACATTTGAGTGGCAAATCTTATTTTTCATAGAGATTAAAAACCTGTTATCGATGTCGACAAAATTATTTTATGTTTAGAGTTGGTACCTGACTTGGATGCATTTGTATTTAAAAAGGCAGCTTGTGGCGAGCACCACACGGTAGTAGTAAATGAATGGGGGCAGCTGTTTAGTTGGGGATTTAACGGAGAAAGCCAGCTAGGTAATATTACCAAAATTAATAAGAGTTTCCTTTCGAAAATCTCTAGAAATTTCAAAATTTCATCCAGTTAATATCTCGACCGAGTTGCAGGTTTATATCCAAAAAATATTATCGAGTGTACGCCGTGTATGGTAAAGGCACTTGGTACTAGCGTAATTGTGCAAATAGCTTGCGGCGCGAAACATACGCTCGCGTTGACAAACAATGGTGAATTATACAGTTGGGGTTCTAATAACAAAGGGCAACTTGGTTTGGATTCTCACATTATAACCCGTATAAAGCCTAAACTTGTAAGTAGTCTAGTCGGTGTGCCTATTGCTTTTATTGCCTGCGGATGGTATCACAGCATAGCCATATCAAAATCAGGTAACTTAATAGAAAGAAAGGAAAACTGTTTCTTATAGAACGTGGAAGTAAATAAATCTTTTGCAGGAGCTATATTCGGCTGGGGCAAAAATACGTTTGGTCAATTGGGGCTAAACAACACACAGGACACATACATTCCTTGCCAGTTGCAAACCTTACAAAATGCAAAAGTATGTTACGCAGCGTGTGGCGAAGAATTTTCTGTATTTTTGACATTGGTAAGTACTCTGAACCTGCGTTGTACGAAGTTTTATCAATATTGAATGGTTGTGAGATTGTCTAGGTAACACCTGATTACCATTCACTCTTTTATTATATTGTTACGTTTACATCCGTACATTACCTCATTATTCCAGGATGGTGGAGTATTCACATGCGGAGCAGGAATGTATGGTCAGTTGGGACATGGAAATAGCTCGAATGAAATTTTGCCTCGTCAAGTTATGGAACTTATGGGTAGCACAGTTACACAGGTATATCACAATGTTGTAAGTTATTTCTCTTGTTGGTTAACGCGTTATGTAAATATTTGTTTTGTAAGATCTCGTGCGGTAAAAGTCACACATTGGCACTGGTGCCATCCCGTGGTAGAATTTACGCATGGGGTGTGAGCAGGTCAGGACAATTGGGCTATGGTTTAACACGTAGCGTAGCCACTCCACAGGTAGTACACGGACCATGGGTTGCCCCTAATGGCACTGCAATGATCGATCTTGACAAGGAATTCAGTTTCTCCAGCATCGACTGTATAGTTACACATATTTTTACTGGTGGCGATCACTGTTTTGCAACCGTAATTCCACGGAAGGTTGGTTTCTCAATGCTCAAGCCCACATTAATAATATAATTTCTAATATAATGTAATTTCTGCAGGATAATGTAAAACCAGATGACTGTAGAATATTAGGATCCTCTTATCGAATTCTTGAAATAAACGAGGAACAATTAATGGCATGTCAGAGAGTCCCACCAAGCTCGCCCATTGATCATGACCTTATGATGTGAGTAGAAAAGTTAGTACCTAAGATTATTCCAAATGCGTGTCGTAAACAGATTTCACATTTCTTTGGGCGGTAAATTGAATTTAAAATAAAATTCTACTGCGTTCTCTATAAATTGTTATCTTTAGTCTTAGTTTATCAAACCGCCCTGTATAATCGATGATAGAATTTGTAACATTTGGTGAACCGATGTTCTTACAGATATTTAGAGACTGTATTTAAGAGTCAAGCATGTTTGAATGGATCATTTTTGCTTAACGATAACCACTATGGATGCTCAAGTAAACAACACGGACTGGATCTGAATCGAGCGAGTAGATCATTTGGAATTATTAGGGAATTGGATAACAACACGATTCAAGAACTGGTATACACGAAAATAAGTCTTACGAAAGATCAAATACATTTTAAATTACTACGAATTAATTATTCCTTCTTTAGATATTTACTTGCATATCAGAGAGCTTGATTCCATCCTGCGCTAGTTTACCATCTAGCGTATATTGTCCGGAATCTTTAAGAATCTTCTTAATATTACCTTTGTATCACGGTTTTGCAGATCCCATTAATCGTAATTTATTGCATAAACCATTTTGCAAAGCTGTTTTAGCATTAAAACCAGAGGTGCTTGAAATTGTATCTAAATGGTGGGCGGAAGCACCATCGCACTATTTCGAAAGATTAGTCAGAATTCATAAGTCGGTTGTTCTTCAGTACGTAAAAGAATCGAAAACAACTAAGGTAATGATCATGATCGCTTCATTCGTCAAACAGTGAAATACTTATTTCTGTAATACTGTAGAAAACAAATTTATCAGGTTGTGTCGTGGGATACGACGCTTCAACTTGTCTTAGATTTGTTACGTTTGTTGAACAAATTGAATAATGAAGGCAAAGAAAGGAATATTGTGCCGTACGCTACGTTTCATTTACCAGAATTGATAGAGTATATAGACATTAGAGACGATTATGTAAAGTGGATCGTAGAAAAGGAACATTATTCTGTAAGTTGAATCCACAATCTATGATTTGCCAAGTCCCGACTTTCCTTTAAATAATTCAAATTGTTTTCAGTGCCAGAAGGTGTTCTGTAACTATCCTTTTCTTCTCGACGCTCAAGCAAAGACCATATTGCTTGAAACGGACCAAGACATTCAGGTACAAAGTGATCTTATTTTGTCGCAATTTTTAAACTAACTTCTCCATGTTACGTTAGATGCAGTCAGCGATAAACGAGGCTGCGACGAATGAATTGTTTTTGTACCAAGGGCTCCAGAATATTCAATTTGTGCTGTTCAATGTGTCGCGTGAGAATATAGTTCCAGACACTTTATGGGAATTGTATAACTACCATTACAAAGACTTGAAGAGACCTCTACGAGTGAGTATTGTAAAAAAAGTTTAAATAACTTATGGGTAAAGTTCCATTAATAAAATTATTGTAGGTGAAGTTTCTCAATGAGGAAGCAGAAGACGCGGGAGGCGTTAAAAAAGAATTCTTTATGCTTCTGTTAAAAGAAATTCTTGATCCAAAATATGGTATGTTTAAGCAATACGAAGAGACCAGAATCATTTGGTTCAGCGAAGACTCTTTCGAGGATGAGAATATGTATTTTCTAATCGGAGTCATTTGTGGACTTGCCATTTACAATTTCATTATTATCGATTTACCATTTCCACTGGCTTTATATAAAAAGTTGTTGCACGAGCCAGTCGGACTGATCGACGTTAAAGAAATGTCGCCAGTGGTCGCCAAGTATGATATGATGTTTTTTAAAATATGTTGAATTTTAAGGTGCAAAAGACTGCGTATGGACACTCGAGATAAAATACTTGGTGTCTTGTCCAAACCTTTACGAGCATTATGGTGATATTGATATTGTTGCAGGGGCATGCAAAGCGTACTTGATTACGACGAATCAGATTTCGAAGAAGTCTTTTGTTTGAATTTCGAGGTTGTCAGGGAAGCGTTTGGTGAGAAAAGAATATACGAACTTATACCAGGAGGTAGTAAAATTCCTGTTACATTGAAAAATAAGTACATATTTCCAAATGTTTCTGTTCTATTTTCTCGTATGCGTTCTCGTAAATAATAACATCGTTATTGTTTGTAGAAAACAGTTTATTGACTTGTACGTAGATTATATACTGAACAAATCTGTTGAAGTTCATTTTAAAGAATTTCACAAAGGTTTCCATAAAGTTTGCGGCGGACGAGTGTTAGAATTGTTTCATAGTTACGAATTAATGGCAGTGGTAGTAGGAAACGAAGATTACGATTGGGAGGAGTTGGAAAAGAATGCAATGTACAAAGGAGGGTATACGAAAAACGATCCCACGATTCTACTGTTTTGGCAAATATTTCGTGAACTGCCTTTGGAAGAGAAGAAAAAGTTTTTATTATTTTTAACCGGAAGCGATAGAATACCTATACAAGGCATGAAAGCGATCAAGGTAGGTTGGTAGTATTATGGTTGCATGTGTGGCCTCGCCTCCTATGCTCGCCACCAGAGGGGTCGCGCTCTCACAAGCGCTCGACTGACCCCCTTGGTTACTATATATACAATCCTCTTTCCAATATCCACTTGAGCACCATGCTGGACATTGGCAAAGAAATGACCAAAATCCCCAAAACACCATCAGACATAACCTCAACAGAGCAACAACCTCCCATGCTCGCCACTAGAGCACCCACCTGAACACCACGCTGGACATTGACAAAGAAATTACCAAAATCCCAAAACACCATCAGACATAACTTCAACAGAGCAACCACCACCACCCGCGCATACTCCAAAACAATAAAACCCCGACCCTGAACTTATTAACCTCATCAAGCTCCGAAACAGATATCGGCGTAAATTCCAAAATACTGCTAACCTGCTCCATAGATACCTAAAAAACTCACTCACCAACCAAATCAAGTCTAAAATCCGCGACCTTAAAAACACCTCCTTGGACTCATAAACTCTCCCAAATTGAAGCAAATCCCATTTCCCTACGGACCACCTACAAAGCCCTAAAACATAACAAAACCAACATTCCACCCCTCACCGACGGTGTAACTCCATAGCTCACACAAGACAAAGCCGAACTTCCTTGCTAAAACATTCCAACTACAACCTCCTCACTCCAACAATTCTACAGATCGAGGGACGGATCTCCACGCCCACAATCTTACCACTTTTCCAACACCACCCCACTCAACTCAGAGTACATCACCCCGCAACTAGTCCTCAAACTCATCAAGAGTTTAAGGAACAACAAATCCCCAGGACACAACAAAATCACCGCAATTCAACTTAAAAACCCACCTAATAGAATGATCCTACAACTATACTACATCCTCAGGCAAATCTATAAGCCTATTTCCTCAAAGCATGGAAAATCACAAAAATCATACCTTTCCCCAAACCAGGAAAAGTTCACGCTAACCCAAACAACTACAGACCTATCAGCCTCCTAAGCCTCCTCGGTAAAATCCTGGAAAAAATCATCCTCGCCCAAATCAAAATACACCTTACAGGGAACAACACCCTAATCTTGGAACAATTCAGCTTTCGGGCCAACACTCCACTATCCACCAAGCCCTCGGACAGCAGGAAGACATTGCACTAGAAGTGAACAAGTCCTTTGGCTCTAGTCCTGCTAGACCTCCAAAAGGCCTTCGACACTGTCAGGCACAATGGACTCCTGCTCAAACTACATCATATCAACCTACTTAACACTAGAAAGACTGAAACTTAGTATATACCTCTATTGGCCAAAAGCAGTCAAAATGACTGCATTGTGAAAGACTAACTAATGTGTAAAGAAATTTATTTAAAATTAATTTTTAATATTATGTTATAATATTATGAATTTAGGGCGCAGAAATAAAATAAACACCTTGAGACTACAGGGGCAACAATTAGGGTGAATATCGATTCTGACCAGGTGGGTCCGATCGACCTCGTCTCGAGTCTCGACTCTTACACAAGAAAACAATCGAGTATTGTTCCAACTTCGTGTCTTCGGTGTTTTCATTCCTGTGGTTGCCTTTGGAATCAATTCTTTTCGCTCGATCATGATGCATTCAATCGATGATCGATAACCTTCTTCTTGCGCTTTCTACCGACGATGTGATATCAAAATGGAGAAAGAAACGTAGATGGATAGTGTGTACAAGGTGTTTTATAAAACGTGAAATTGAACATAATTGTCGATAATTAATAGTGATGTTGATCTAATCGTTTAATACGTATTGCCAGACAGACCTAACCCAGACATAACCCAGACATAACACAGACCTAACCCAGACTTAATCCAGACCTAACCCAGACCTAACCCAGACTTAATTCAGACTTATTCCAGACCTAACCCAGACTTAATTCAGACTTATTCCAGACCTAACCCAGACCTAACCCAGACTTAATTCAGACTTATTCCAGACCTAACCCAGACCTAACCCAGACCTTACGTGGGGAAATCCTCATGGACACCCGCGGGCCCACCCGATGGGCGGGCCGGCGGGTAGTGCCGGACTCTTACCGGCTAAAACCCCACGGTGACCATCCTCAAGCGCTTGGCGAGGGACCGGGAACTCTAGTGAGACATCACAGAGTCCCTCGCCGCGCCGTGCCTTTTCAGGCCCTCCCCGGTGAGAGGCACTCCTCCCACCGCATTTCCACTCAACCGCAGGCGCCTGGTCACCAGCGCCCGCGGCCCCGTGACATGGGACTAAGCCGCCGGCCGCGGGGCCACGTTGGCCGCAGGACACACCCGCAGCCAACTGGCCAACCTGCGGCCTTAGGTCAAACCCGCGGCAAATATCCCATGCCCCAGTCCACTCACACACACATTCACACGCGCAACGCATTCATACCGGTGTTTGGTCCGCGGGAGCTTTCGCTCCGACCTCCGGGATGCCATGCGAGGATGCAGCCACCAGCCTTCTCAGGTTGATGACCCCATCCCCGCATCCCATCCCAGCGGCTGCCCCTATCCGCCACCTGGGGACGCGCCACGTAGGGGTTCACCTCCCCTGCCGCCTGGACAACCAAACGGGTGCGTGGAGACCTAACCCAGACCTAACCCAGACCTAACCCAGACCTAACCCAGACCTAACACAGACCTTTTGTACGTGGGGAAATCCTCATGGACACCCGCGGGCCCACCCGATGGGCGGGCCGGCGGGTAGTGCCGGACTCTTACCGGCTAAAACCCCACGGTGACCATCCTCAAGCGCTTGGCGAGGGACCGGGAACTCTAGTGAGACATCACAGAGTCCCTCGCCGCGCCGTGCCTTTTCAGGCCCTCCCCGGTGAGAGGCACTCCTCCCACCGCATTTCCACTCAACCGCAGGCGCCTGGTCACCAGCGCCCGCGGCCCCGTGACATGGGACTAAGCCGCCGGCCGCGGGGCCACGTTGGCCGCAGGACACACCCGCAGCCAACTGGCCAACCTGCGGCCTTAGGTCAAACCCGCGGCAAATATCCCATGCCCCAGTCCACTCACACACACATTCACACGCGCAACACATTCATACCGGTGTTTGGTCCGCGGGGGCTTTCGCTCCGACCTCCGGGATGCCATGCGAGGATGCAGACACCAGCCTTCATAGGTTGATGACCTCATTCCCGCATCCCATCCCAGAGGCTGCCCCTATCCGCCACCTGGGGACGCGCCACGTAGGGGTTCACCTCCCCTGCCGCCTGGACAACCAAACGGGTGCGTGGAGACCTAACCCAGACCTAACACAGACCTAACCCAGACCTAACCCAGACCTAACACAGACCTGTACGTGGGGAAATCCTCATGGACACCCGCGGGCCCACCCGATGGGCGGGCCGGCGGGTAGTGCCGGACTCTTACCGGCTAAAACCCCACGGTGACCATCCTCAGGCGCTTGGCGAGGGACCGGGAACTCTAGTGAGACATCACAGAGTCCCCCGCCGCGCCGTGCCTTTTCAGGCCCTTCCCGGTGAGAGGCACTCCTCTCACCGCATTTCCACTCAGCCACAGGCGCCTGGTCACCAGCGCCCGCGGCCCCGTGACATGGGACTAAGCCGCCGGCCGCGGGGCCACGTTGGCCGCAGGACACACCCGCAGCCAACTGGCCAACCTGCGGCCTTAGGTCAAACCCGCGGCAAATATCCCATGCCCCAGTCCACTCACACACACATTCACACGCGCAACGCATTCATACCGGTGTTTGGTCCGCGGGAGCTTTCGCTCCGACCTCCGGGATGCCATGCGAGGATGCAGACACCAGCCTTCATAGGTTGATGACCTCATTCCCGCATCCCATCCCAGCGGCTGCCCCTATCCGCCACCTGGGGACGCGCCACGTAGGGGTTCACCTCCCCTGCCGCCTGGACAACCAAACGGGTGCGTGGAGACCTACCCAGACCTAACCCAGACCTAACCCAGACCTAACCCAGACCTAACACAGACCTTTTTTTTTGTACGTGGGGAAATCCTCATGGACACCCGCGGGCCCACCCGATGGGCGGGCCGGCGGGTAGTGCCGGACTCTTACCGGCTAAAACCCCACGGTGACCATCCTCAGGCGCTTGGCGAGGGACCGGGAACTCTAGTGAGACATCACAGAGTCCCCCGCCGCGCCGTGCCTTTTCAGGCCCTCCCCGGTGAGAGGCACTCCTCCCACCGCATTTCCACTCAACCGCAGGCGCCTGGTCACCAGCGCCCGCGGCCCCGTGACATGGGACTAAGCCGCCGGCCGCGGGGCCACGTTGGCCGCAGGACACACCCGCAGCCAACTGGCCAACCTGCGGCCTTAGGTCAAACCCGCGGCAAATATCCCATGCCCCAGTCCACTCACACACACATTCACACGCGCAACGCATTCATACCGGTGTTTGGTCCGCGGGAGCTTTCGCTCCGACCTCCGGGATGCCATGCGAGGATGCAGCAGCCACCAGCCTTCTAGGTTGATGACCTCATTCCCGCATCCCATCCCAGCGGCTGCCCCTATCCGCCACCTGGGGACGCGCCACGTAGGGGTTCGACTATTCCAGACCTACCCAGACTAATTCAGACTATTCCAGACCTAACCCAGACCTAACCCAGACCTAACCCAGACCTAACCCAGACCTAACCCAGACCTAACCCAGACCTTTTTTTTTGTACGTGGGGAAATCCTCATGGACACCCGCGGGCCCACCCGATGGGCGGGCCGGCGGGTAGTGCCGGACTCTTACCGGCTAAAACCCCACGGTGACCATCCTCAGGCGCTTGGCGAGGGACCGGGAACTCTAGTGAGACATCACAGAGTCCCCCGCCGCGCCGTGCCTTTTCAGGCCCTTCCCGGTGAGAGGCACTCCTCCCACCGCATTTCCACTCAACCGCAGGCGCCTGGTCACCAGCGCCCGCGGCCCCGTGACATGGGACTAAGCCGCCGGCCGCGGGGCCATGTTGGCCGCAGGACACACCCGCAGCCAACTGGCCAACCTGCGGCCTTAGGTCAAACCCGCGGCAAATATCCCATGCCCCAGTCCACTCACACACACATTCACACGCGCAACGCATTCATACCGGTGTTTGGTCCGCGGGAGCTTTCGCTCCGACCTCCGGGATGCCATGCGAGGATGCAGCCAGACCTAACCCAGACCTAACCCAGACCTAACCCAGACTTAATTCAGACTTATTCCAGACCTAACCCAGACCTAACCCAAACCTAGGTCTGGGTTAGGTCTGGAATAAGTCTGAATTAAGTCTGAATTAAGCCTGGGTTAGGTCTGGGTTAGATCTGGGTTAGGTCTGGGTTAGGTACGCCCAAATTGACAATTTATCATGTACTTGTATGTTATCATGTGTTGGTAATCGAAAAAAAATGAAAACTGTTATTTCAATACAGAGTCGAACTGGTCATATAAGAAATTTACTCAATTCAATAATAAGAGTCATTTGATTATTCAAAATTTCCCAAGCAGTCAAAATGACTGCTTTTGACCAATATAGGTATAACACATATACCGGAAATGAAGGAGGGGGGAGGTAACTACAATTATTAATAAACGCATTTATATGTTGTGCAAAAAGTCACAAAATTCTAAGAAATTGTGTCATTATATACATAATTGTTTTTCTAATTGAAATTAAAAAGCAGTCAAAATGACTTCCTTGGGCAATCTAGTGTTAAACACCTAATCAAAATAACACACATCTTCCTGTCAAACAGAACTATATCAGTAATCTACAATGGTACACAATCCACTCCCAGAACACTTCACATCGGGGTCCTCCAGGGGTCAGTTCTGGGTCCCATACTCTTCAACATCTACATCAACGACATTCCCAAAAATTCCAATACCAAGCTAGTCCTCTATGACACTGCAATCTACTCCTCCTCATGGGCTCACAACCAAGGAGTCGAGTAATATCCAGTGATGACTTGTTGGCTAAGCACCTGTAAACTAAACGGGGCGAGGGCAAGGAACTCTGAAGTCACGCTACATAGTAGTAGGGTCTCCATAACCACGAAAGATACATTTTTGTTCTATTCATGGCTAGTATTATGAGCGTACGGTTATGCCAATACCTCTCAGTCTTGTCCTACCCTTCTCTGTCCCTAGTTTGCCTGTTTAGTTTGCATCCTTTGCCACGCGATGGAATTGTAGTTGTGAGCGACTCAGCCAATAATGACAATGCGTGTGCCTAACTATCAAGTCATCACTGGATAGTATGCACAAGTTCACTTAAATCACATCCTCCAATTCACACAGACCTGGAAACTGACCATAAACCCAACAAAAACTGAGGCAATCTTCTTCACCCGCAAACATCACCATAGACAACCACCTCATCGCCTGGTCCAAAAAGGTGGAATACCTGGGAATCTGGTTCGACACAAAATTAAAATGGCAGCATAACATCCAAGACCAAGTGTGCAAAGGAATTTTTTTGGTGTCTTGCGTACACTCTATCGCCTCATCTTCAGAAACAGCCCGCTCTCCACCTCTCTCAAACTCCGCCTATGCAAAACCTGCGTCCGCTCGATCATCACATACGAAGCGGAAATCTGATGCATAGCAGCAAAAATACACATTTCCAAAATCCAGGTAATCCAAAATAAGTACCTCCTCATAATACTAAACAAACCCCGATATCACACAACCGGAAGCCTTACTGACGAGTCCACTAGCGCCCCCTCATTTCCTTTTCCGTCCTCCTACGATAGTTCGAATTTCTACCGCAGCGAAGCAGCGCCACACATGCAATTTTTAAACGTTTAAACAGTTTCAACTAAGCGTTTTGTTGTCTGTTACAGATTACGATGCAACCATTGGGCGATGAACGTAGGTTGCCCGTCGCTCATACGTGTTTCAATTTACTCGATCTCCCACGATATCAGACCCAAGAACGATTACGATACAAGCTGCAACAAGCTATACAACAAACACACGGTTTTTCGTTAGTCTGAAACTTTTTTCCTATTTAGTTGTACAACATTTGCATAATACGGCGTAAAATCTTAATCGGAATTTTGTTATCTTACACCGCAAGATTGAATGAATTGATCCTTAGTAGTAAGAATTTGGAGTAATATTATTATGCAATGAAACGAGATTGAACAATTAACAACAGTACGCGCAACGAACGGGCTAGGAAAAGAAAATGCATCACTTTAGCGAGACACACGATTTTATAAATACGAGTATTATAAACGATCTATTAAACGATTTATTTAAAACGATAGAATATTTATAATACCGCAAATGAATTTGAATTTAAAAAGAAAAGCAAGATGATTTCAGGGGAAATTGTTAGCAAATAAACTTCAATCAAAGATCATATTCCTGATAGATTATTTTTTTAATGATTAAACGTACGATTAACGTGTTATTTTTAACGAATAAGATAATCGCCCTCGATGTACATGTTTAATACTTATTTAAACGATAGACCACGAGAGTGTTGATGGTCGACTCTTAGCATTTATTTATTAATCGCGAGTAAATGTTTCTCTTACCTTACTATTTCAATTATAAGGTTGCAAATGAATAAAAATGTGATTTTTTTCAAGCATTCACCACTAGCAAAGTTAGGAAAATTTTATTCACAAATAACGGATAAACATTTGTAGATTCGTTGATAAACTGATTTTCGCCCGCGGATTTTCTTCGTTGTTTTTTCAAAAAATCTGTTAAAAAATGATAATTTTAAGAAGGAAACGCAAGCGAAAGTCAATTAACGAATTGATCTACAATCTCGATCGGTTATTTTTAAATGAAATTTTCTTAATTTTCGCCGTTGCTATATATTCTGTACAAAATAGTTTATACATTTTTTAGTACTCGAATATATATTTTGTATATTTATTTATAAAGCATGAGAATTCACGGTCCACGTTTAAATTTGTAAATATCCTTTATTTATACACATCAATATGTTACATTATTACAAAGTTACGTTATTTGATAGACACGTGGTCGTTCAATCGTTTTACAAAAATGTTTACATTGGGACGTGTTCGTCTTAATGTTTCGCAACATTTTTGTTCGATTTTCATTCGATCTTTCTTATTCGTTTCTTATTTCGCTACTACTCAACATGTCAGTGTTTACCACTCTTTCACGAGATAAAAAGCTTTTGTCAGAAGCATTAGTTTTTTTATTCGTACGTTAACGTTTCGCGTTAAATATTACTTAGAGCTACGCTATTGATCAGCATTTTACTAAAGGTGGGTTGAAACCTAACTCTCAGGGGTGTATCTGAAAGAATAAGTGTAAAAATTTGACTGAAAAGTCACCCGATCCGCGATGTAAGATTTGGGTTCTCGAAACATTTTGCCCTAATGTTTCCAACAACTATGCAATTCATCCAACGCTTGATTTTACGTTTATATGAAAGTGACGAGGATAAAAAGCAATTGTCAGTCTCAGTATATACAAGTTACGTTGAAATTCGAAATCCTAATGAAGATGTTTATCTTGTCTCGTGAAAGCATCGTGCCAATTCGGACCGAGAACTGGAAAAGCGAAAACACAATCCGTGTACAGTCTCGAGTCCTAGAGAAAAAAAAATATTCGATCGATCCATCGTTTCACTCTGGGCGCAGAGTACATTACGTTACTCTGTGCTTTCAGTGCACAAATTTCGAAATCCAACGAGAACAGTCCTGAGCGATTTCTATGTATCGGGACGACATCCTCGTAAAGATGGATATTCCTAGGTTAATTTCCAACAAGAGATCAAAAATCAAGCCCAGGACGACGTTTCCAGAGATAGATAGATAGATAAATAGATAGAGAGAGAAGTAAACAACTATTGAATAGATTCGCTAATGTTGATAGGCTGGGGTAAAGTATTGGGTGCCTGGTGGAGCTCGATAGCCAGGGTACGAACAGTTCAAGGCGTGCTGGGCAAAGAAACCGCTATAATCCTTTTTTATTCTTCGAGGTCTGACGGCAGGTCCTCTCGCCAATTCCATCCTGGCTCTGTTTTCCGCTTCTGTTTGAGCTTTCACCGACGGCGGTGGCCATTTCAAGTCTCCCCTCATGTTTCCACTGACTGGAGCCTTTGTTGCGGCAGGTTGAGCTTGGTAAACGGGCGCTGGTGCCTAAAGTTCCCGACAAAATGCTATTCAAGGAGGCAGACAGAGCAAGAGAGGAGGAAGCTGCACCGCTAGCAGATATTACAAAAGGAGTCATCGAGAAGCTCAGGTGTTCGACAACATACACATACAGGATGTTGCATTTAACTGCAAAAGGTGGAATATCTCATGGAAGGTTTAACTGCGAAAGGTGGAATATTTCATTGAAGGTTTAACTGCAAAAGGTGGAATATCTCATGGAAGGTTTAACTGCGAAAGGTGGAATATCACATGGAAGGTTTAATTGCGAAAGGTGGGATATCTCATGAGGTGGAATATCTCATTGAAGATTTAACTGCAAAAAGTGGGATATGTCATGAGATGGAATATCTCATTGAAGGTTTAATTGCGAAAGGTGGAATATCTCATGGACGATTTAACTGCAAAAGGTGGAATATCTCATGGAAGGTTTAACTGCGAAATGTGGGATATCTCATGAGGTGGAATATCTCATGAGGTAGAATATCTCATGGAAGGTTTAACTGCGAAAGATGGAATAAGTTGTGAGGTGGAATATCTCATTGAAGGTTTAACTGCAAAAGGTGGGATATGTCATGAGATGGAATATCTCATTGATGGTTTAATTGCGAAAGGTGGAATATCTCATGGAAGGTTTAACTGCGAAAGGTGGTACATCTCATTGAAGGTTTAACTGCGAAAGGTGGGATATCTCATGAGGTGGAATATCTCATTGAAGATTTAACTGCAAAAAGTGGGATATGTCATGAGATGGAATATCTCATTGAAGGTTTAATTGCGAAAGGTGGAATATCTCATGGAAGGTTTAACTGCGAAACGTGGTACATCTCATTGAAGGTTTAACTGCGAAATGTGGGATATCTCATGGAAGGTTTAACTGCGAAATGTGTGATATCTCATGAGGTGGAATATCTCATTGAAGGTTTAATTGCGAAAGGTGGAATATCTCATGGAAGGTTAAACTGCGAAAGGTGGTACATCTCATTGAAGGTTTAACTGCAAAATGTGGGATATCTCATGGAAGGTTTAACTGCGAAAGGTGGGATATCTCATGAGGTGGAATATCTCATTGAAGATTTAACTGCAAAAGGTGGGATATCTCATGAGGTGGAATATCTCATTGAAGGTTTAACTGCAAAAGGTGGAATATCTCATGGAAGGTTTAACTGCGAAATGTGGGATATCTCATGAGGTGGAATATCTCATGAGGTAGAATATCTCATGGAAGGTTTAACTGCGAAAGATGGAATAAGTTGTGAGGTGGAATATCTCATTGAAGGTTTAACTGCAAAAAGTGGGATATGTCATGAGATGGAATATCTCATTGAAGGTTTAATTGCGAAAGGTGGAATATCTCATGGAAGATTTAACTGCAAAAGGTGGAGTATCTCATGGAAGGTTTAACTGCGAAATGTGGGATATCTCATGAGGTGGAATATCTCATGAGGTAGAATATCTCATGGAAGGTTTAACTGCGAAAGATGGAATAAGTTGTGAGGTGGAATATCTCATTGAAGGTTTAACTGCAAAAGGTGGGATATGTCATGAGATGGAATATCTCATTGAAGGTTTAATTGCGAAAGGTGGAATATCTCATGGAAGGTTTAACTGCGAAAGGTGGTACATCTCATTGAAGGTTTAACTGCGAAAGGTGGGATATCTCATGAGGTGGAATATCTCATTGAAGATTTAACTGCGAAATTTGGGATATCTCATGAGGTGGAATATCTCATTGAAGGTTTAATTGCAAAAGGTGGAATATCTCATGGAAGGTTTAACTGCGAAAGGTGGGACATCTCATTGAAGGTTTAACTGCGAAATGTGGGATATCTCATGGAAGGTTTAACTGCGAAAGGCGGGATATCTCATGAGGTGGAATATCTCATTGAAGGTTTAACTGCAAAAGGTGGGATATGTCATGAGATGGAATATCTCATTGATGGTTTAATTGCGAAAGGTGGAATATCTTATGGAAGGTTTAACTGCGAAAGGTGGTACATCTCATTGAAGGTTTAACTGCGAAAGATGGAATAAGTTGTGAGGTGGAATATCTCATTGAAGGTTTAACTGCAAAAGGTGGGATATGTCATGAGATGGAATATCTCATTGAAGGTTTAATTGCGAAAGGTGGAATATCTCATGGAAGGTTTAACTGCGAAACGTGGGACATCTCATTGAAGGTTTAACTGCGAAAGATGGAATAAGTTGTGAGGTGGAATATCTCATTGAAGGTTTAACTGCAAAAGGTGGGATATGTCATGAGATGGAATATCTCATTGAAGGTTTAATTGCGAAAGGTGGAATATCTCATGGAAGGTTTAACTGCGAAACGTGGGACATCTCATTGAAGGTTTAACTGCGAAAGGTGGGATATGTCATGAGATGGAATATCTCATTGAAGGTTTAATTGCAAAAGGTGGAATATCTCATGGAAGGTTTAACTGCGAAAGGTGGGACATCTCATTGAAGGTTTAACTGCGAAATGTGGGATATCTCATGGAAGGTTTAACTGCGAAATGTGGGATATCTCATGAGGTGGAATATCTCATTGAAGGTTTAATTGCGAAAGGTGGAATATCTCATGGAAGGTTTAACTGCGAAACGTGGGACATCTCATTGAAGGTTTAACTGCGAAATGTGGGATATCTCATGGAAGGTTTAACTGCGAAAGGTGGGATATCTCATGAGGTGGAATATCTCATTCAAAGTTTAACTGCGAAAGGTGGGATATCTCATTGAAGGTTGAACTGCGAAAGGTGAAATATCTCATCAAAGCTATCAAAAAAGTGTTTTTACAAAACTTGTTCTATTTAAAGGGCCACATTATGTGATCACCTACACAAAAATTATTTATACCACATAATGTGCCCTTTTAAGTAAAATAACTTTTATCAGAGCAGTTTTTGATAATTTGGTACCTCATGAGATACGTTGGAAGTGAATAGAAATCTGAAAAAATTAAATTATCAATAAACGTTCCACGAACCTGTGAAATTGGAGGCTCCGGGCGAAGTGTGATGGTGGAGGGTGGTGGTTCGAATGGAGCAGGGGCTGTTTGAAGTTGCGGTTGTCGCTGTGACGAGTAACTATCCTGAGGGTGTTGCTGTAATTAATAACACGATTAAATTAGCGTATAGGAATCCAAGGGAAGTGGATTTTAAGAATTAACACGCCTGTTGACTACACGCTCGTTCCAGAACAGAGGAATATATGTATGTATACGGAGGAAATGAAGATTAATATTTCCTTATCGTGCATCTCTCCTGCGAAGCGATCCACCTGTCGATAGAACTGTCCAAGATATCAGATCGTTCTAAAGATTTTGTTCATGGGACGATCTGATATATGCACAAGTGTCGACTTCCAGTCCGGTGCAATTCAATGACAGAGCTTCCACACCGTGCTATACGATTGGTTGTAAGTTTTGTTAATTCTAGACCTTTGTTTGCTTTTATCAAAACATTTCCTGTGTCATCACATCCGAATTAATTGTTTTATAACTGTTGTTAGGTGGTACGAGATACATTGCAAATAGTTTAAGGCGGAAGGAAGTCGACACCTATGCCCCGGATCACTTACCTGCGGATGGTGATTCTGTTGTCCCGACCAGGAAACCGGTTGAATCGGTTGTGGCGATATCGGAGAAGTAGCAGGGGGCGTTACCGGCGCCCAGCCCTTCGGCACAGGTTGGTGTTGGAAGTGAGAAGAAGGCTGTCGCAGAGTTCCAGCAGGGCTAATCGACGACGGAGACGATGGAACAGCGCCCTGAGTCGACGAACGAGCGATCGTCGACGCCGGCTGAGGCGACGAACCTGACGAGGGACTGCTCTGGTACGAGGCGCGATCACCTATTCCACGGGTCTTTTCAAACGAAAAACAGAGGCTTTTTGTACGCATCGACGAATATTGTTTGCCCGTTTCTGGTTTCTTCGGAGACCTTAGTCTCGGTACACAGTTAAGGGCAAAAGAAAGCGGACAGATGATGAAAATGAATATCAATGAAATTTAATTACTATAGCATCATAATTACAGGTTTATCTTTATAGTATATGGATTATTTAAATAACATTTAAAATAAATATTAACAATCGGTGTAAACCAAAATTAAGTTTAAACAAAAACTCAACCAATTCGTCAGAAGTAAGTCATTATACGAGGGTTGTGTTTACACACAGTATTTATTCAGGCTTCGCACAAGTAAGATTAAGCGTTGAACAATATAAAAATGAAAAAAACAGCAGAAATTTTATGTCAAATCCGTAATTTAATTCTTTCGGACTGAGACCTAACTTAGAATAAATTTCAATGAGATACGTTACCGTGTTATGACCCACAAGTATAAAGTATCAAAGAGTGCGGTGCAATAAATATGGAATAAATATTTAGTACATTATACTGTAGAGAATTTAAGACGCTCTGAACGAAAACGTTGTACTACCACACACGAAGACCGTCGAATTGTTCGAGAATTTCAACGAGAGTCCACGATCTCCTCACGGCAGATTTAAAAGCAGTAGGATCAGATGTGTCAACAAAAACAATAAAACGAAGGTTCCACCAAGTGGGACTAAAATCTTGTGAGGTATGGCGTAAATCTCGTATTAATAAAAAGGTGGCGCGCATGCGTCCGCACGATAGCGCGCATGCGTCAGAGTAGCGATCGACCATAGGGGAATCCCCAAGCTCGCCATGCGGTCTCTGTGAATTCTCGTACTGTGTAATTATTTACACAAATTTATATTATCGTCATTAAACATTAACAGTAATTACAATCTATATTAATTAAATTTCATTGATATCCTTTTTAATCATCTGTCAACTTACTTTTGTCCCTGACTGTGTGTATATTCGCCTCGACAGCCACGACGGTGTAGTCAACCGCGTACTCAAAAGTGTGATTCTTCGTTTCTAATACGGATATAAATAATTGTTTCCCTCCTCGCCATTGTACATTGAGTAGGGGCGTGCGGGTACACACGATTTCGGGTTTGGGTTGGAGATTCAAAACTTTCTAACACTCGTTGCAAGCGTTGAGTTTTAACTATCTAAAATCTAGCCGTGGCAATCATTTATTTCACTACGAATAACGCAAACTTTTTCTAAATTGCAGAATACGAACATTTTCTGGGCTGATTACAATGTAACAACAAGCACATAACGAACATTGAGGAGGGCCCAGAAAGAAACATAAAAGTACATCGTCAACGCCTAATACACAACGAGCAAACAACGACAACTGCAAGATAATAAGGAAATCACAAACTTTTGATGGAAACAGGATTCTTCTATCGTTTCCGATACGTGAATACTGAACATTAATAATTCATTCTATAAAAAAAAAACAACACGTGCCTAACGGTAATCGTTAGATAGAATCTGATAAAAGTTGTTAGGGTAAGGGCAGTTGATGCAAGAATAATAATATTAATACACCATTTTAAATATCAGGTCTTTTCTCTCTATTCGTGGCTTCGTGATAAAATTTGTTTAAACCGAAATATTTACCTTCGCTTGCACGGGTCCTTGTTCCACAAAGTCAAAGTCCTGATCCTCCGGAGGAGGTGGCCAAGCCACTCGTTTCAGACCTACGAACGATTAAAAAAGTCAGTATAATTGAAATGACTATGCTCGAATGGAACGTGAAAGGATTAATGATATTAGTTGTAAAGCATCAATGTTATTTGAAATATTTTGCATTATATTTCCTATCGTTGGAAAATTCAACGAAATATTGAGGATAAATATTGTTCGCGTGTTGAAAACTATCTGTAGCGGAAACAGCCTTTATATTTTGCGCGATACGCTCGCTATAGCGTGTGTATATTTTTGTTCCCGAAGGTGACAACAATTTATGAGCAACATACGTATACAAGTTGATGACTCGATCGAAACCGGATGCGTCATGCTAAATTTTTAGACCCTGACTACTGAAATGTTTATTTATTTTTCTAGTATGTTTCGCATTCTTTTGAACATTTACAATTCAAGTAATTGTTTTACTTTTATTACCACGAACCTATGTGTAATGATAAATGGATAAATAGAAAATGCAAGCTAAAAGTGCAATCTATCTGTATGTTTCACACTTGTGTGGACTTGGCTGTGAATGTTGGATCGTGTTTCGTTTCCCATGTTTGATTGAAAGAAACGTGGAAAAGAGTGGTTATTGCGCCAATAAAACGAATTATTATTCACCGCAGCGGTAGCAGCCAAGTTTATATTTACACAATTATTGCTGAAGAATTGACACGATTTTGGTACGACCTTGCTGTATTCTTAGATTATTTTGGAAGCACGAATATTGGGTGGTATCAACCCGTGACCAAGGAAATAAAAGTACAATTTAAGACTAGAAACAAATCTCCTACAAATGCAATAGTACGTAAAAGAATAACATAACTTCAAAGTCCAAAGTATCTTTACGTAAAGCTTCTCAAAACAATATTATCGTTCGATTTTGACCAAACGATTGTTGTCGTTGGACAGATTGTTAATAGAAATGTTAAGCAATTGCTTTCCAACGTTTAATTTCTTTGTTATTATGGATTTTGTGTCATGCATGCATCGTTGGGTGTACGTACAATTGGAAATGTTGTCCCCGGTGGAACTGTTGTTTAGCACGATTCCCTAAAACAAGTCACTTTGACGCGAAGAAGAAGGAAACGACTTTGCCAAAACGAATACTGGCCAACAACTAACGCTAGAAGTACCTTTCATTATCGAAGAAACGACCTAGCCACCGATTTTAGAGCTTTCCTGGTCACAGGCCAAAAAGTGGGGGTTGATACCGATAGGTAGGGGCAAGTTAAAAATTTCGACAGGGGCACTTTCCAAACAAACAGCCATTTCTATTGCTATTATTTTTATCAAGGTTCAATCGCAGACCACTGAGACTTTTAACAAAGTATCGGTAGAAAAGCGGAGCTTAAAATTTCAATAACTCTCCACCCCCTAATAACATGGAGTTAAAATAATCCATATTACTACAACAACAAGTATTATAATTGAACATGATTAACCGAACCTACAAACACGATTGATATCCATTGTATGAATAAGAGAGTAAAAAATGCAACGCGAATAGCAATCCGTAACTCTAAAAGGAAACACGATTAGTATATTTGCATATCTGTGATGTGTTATAACGACAAACTAGAGTTAAAATTTCGGAAAATGATTCTTGCACTCCAATTGTTACGAAGCAAGCGCAGAACAGCATACACTGTGGGACCAAAAGACAGCACATTTTCTATCTGTTCATATTTGGTACTGCGTACATATACGTATACGGTCCAACTGTAATTATTAAACGACATTGAGTTCCATTTAAGTTTGCTTGATTTCTTTCTATAGTCTACTGAGAAGACGTACGCATTATTAAACGTGCAAGGTTCATCGAAGAGAAATTGGAACGATTTTACCAAAGCGTGCTGTATTTTGGTCCCGCTGTATGTTTTAAGTAACGTTGTTAGTGTTCACCTCTCTGTTGATAGATAAAACCAGCTTTTCTGATAGTGGTGTTAGTCTCCCTCGCTCATAATTAGCAGCTTGCAACATTTGCTTCTTGTTAGTCTTCTTCGTTAGATTAATGTGCGACTTTGTGCTTCGGTTGCTGAAATCTTTGGATTAGGTTCTTTTGTTTTTCTCTACGTTATCTTGGACTCCGTACGCAAAGTAGTTTCTTGCAAACTATGCCAGCCACTGGCAGCCAGCGTATACATTTTCATTATTAGAAATGTGCACAGTTTGAAATTTTATATTCTACGCAAACTTTTGTTTCTTTGACTCTTTGGGGCACGCTGGGATCAAAAGTGTCCCACCTTATTGGTGCACCGTGATGCATGGTGGGACATTTTTATATTAGCTGCATGCGCGCGCATACGTTTATATCTCGTCTTGTTTACGTAAAGCAGTTGGTAATATCTTCGACAAATGTTACAAATGTATTCGCTCGTGTTGGTAACATCGATGAACGTGCCAATACAGGTTCGCCAATTGTTGCAAGCGGAAGGTTTATCGCGACAATCTTTTTCCCCCTGGTTTAATTTAAAAATAAAATTTCTGTGCAACATGGGTCTATTATCTGAAATCCTGTGCCGCAAAGAGTTAAAAACCTATCGAATAATGTAAATGTTGTAAAAAAGAAATGGTTTCTCCGACGATATAGCTTTAGTAAGGCCTTTTATGATATAACTTGTTACTATGATTCGCAAGAAACGAGAAATTAACCGACTGTAAATTTAAGTTCGCTTACTCGGCTGACCGCTTCGTTGCCTAGCCTCTTCCTCCTCGAGCATCCGTAGAACCGCACTGTTTTGTAAATTCGTCGGCTTGGCTAACTGATTGAAGTCGATTCTGAAAGAAAACACTCTTTGTTACTCGCGATTAACAATGATTAGTCGAAACTTTCTAACTTATTTTACTTTCGTCTATACACTTTCGAAAAAAACCCCTAAAAAAATTACTATGTTTATGGTAGAAAACATTACCAACGTAAAATAACACTTTACCGACCGGTAGCCTTTTAAGGGTGGATATTGGAATCCCCGAAATTCATGCAAAATGGTAAAACGAGAAGCGATATTTGACAATTGTTTTAGAACATAAAAGTTTGATGAAACTTTTCGTCGCTTTTCACGTACATTCTTCAACATTTCAAACTATAAATATTATTTTTTCCGTTACGTTTCTATCGACTTTGGACGAAATAATAAATGTTTGTTATTCCTGGCATGCAGCATTTTTCCCCTTTGATCTAGAAATAAAAAAAAAGCTAGTAGAAGCTAAAATCCTTCTTAAAAAATGCAAAATTGTCGAAAATACGAACAAAAATAATTCTTGCAATTTACAATTTAATTACGCGATAAACATAGTTTAAATAATTATTATTTCAAAGGATGTTAGTTCACGCGACGCGTAGTACTATTACGAACAAAATATCGTTTTTATTCTAGATCGAAAGAAATTTGAAACATTTATTATTTCATAAAAAGTTTCATAATACCCTTATGCTGTAAAAAAAATTGCCAAATATCTAATTTTACTCGTTAATCGGTTTTCATCCAACAGTTACCGACAATACCGACTGGTATAAATCGGTTCTCATGAAAATAAAAAATGTTACTAGATTTAATTACCCTATAGTAATAGAACGCGAACAATACAGTAAGCACTTTCACAAAGTTTCATTTAACATTCTTATTGGCCTATATCAGAATGTTCAACAGTTAGCGGTCGGTAAAGCGTTAAATAAACGAAATTTTCTGAGAAATATAAAATTTCGCGAAACGTGAGGTTCACTGGTCACCGGTCGCACTGGTCACCCGGTCGCTGGTGTCAGCGGCCGCGTTAAAGTTCGTAAATCGAGGGAAATACGATCCCCCGTGTGTTTGTGATAGCGCAAGATGGTTATTGGTTTCGTGTGATCACCTGTTTTGGGTAAGCATGTTGATCGGATACGCGACAGAAGGGAAATCCCGCGAGAAAACCGGCGAAGTACAGACCCCGAGGCCACCAAACGCGAAACTAAGTCAAGTACGATGGCGTTCGCGGGGTTTGCGCAACTGCTAGGCTCTGGACCCCGGGGTTTATTTCTAACTCGCGTGATTCGGCCATCTGAAAATAACAGAGGCTCGGCAATGACGGCAGGAACCGCTGATTCATCGACCAACAACCGGTCAGAATCGCCTCTCAGACAACGATCGACACGAGTCCGTCGAAAGACACGTGGACCCAGGTGTAGACAGTTGAGGTGGTTGCCAAACGTCTTATCCAAACACAGGATCCATGCATTCTAATACCATTTACGATATTAGAAAAGATACCAGGCAAGATGATAGCACACGGGTGCTATCTTTATTTTCTTGCGTTAGGATTATGTTAGCGTGGAAATTTTTAGTGATATGTAAAACGTAACTTCCACAAATAGGTAGACATAACCTAGATTGAGGTTATTTCAATTAGGGTCTCTTGGAGAAAGCAGAGTGTGCAGAATTATAGCACACTTCAAAGATAAATAATATATGTTTCATATGACAAAGGTATACATACTTTATATAATAATATATATACTATACTACACTTTACAGGGGTGACAATTTTTTTGTTAGTTTTTTTTACGCACCCCCCTAGATTGTGACACTCGAAAAAAAAAAAGGACCACCCTAGTGGGGGCGCTGTCGAAGCTCGAAGTGTGCGTTGATACTGTTTAAAGTAGTAGGAAAAAGCGTATAAGGCTATAAATAAAAGAAATGTTACGGATCCATATATTCCAATACCATTTGCGATATTAGAGTCTGAAAGATGCATAAAATTTTTACTTTTTTTAGCCAGCTTACCCGACAGCACCGTTAGCCAAAACTTGAGTTTTCCTGTCCAAAGTTTCCTGTATCGCTTGCGGCGAGTACAAATTTATTGGAGAGTTGAACTGTTTGTTCACGAACATCCCCCTTTGCGCCGACATATTCGCCTTTTCCTTTATCAGGTTATTTGGTTATCGGTCACTGAAAAGTAATAATCAACGATGTAGAACTGTGGTTCTCAACCTTTGTTGCGTATGTATGTTAAATATAATAGCCAAGTTGGATAGTTTTATTGTTCTATTCGAATTGTAGTTTTATATCTAACCCAGGCCTAACAGACAATCAACGATGTAGAACAGTGGTTCTCAACCTTTGTTGCGTGTGTATGTTAAATATAATAGCCAAGCTGATGGACAGTTTTGTTCTATTCGAATTGTAGTTTTATATCTAACCGAGGCCTAACAGACAATCAACGATGTAGAACAGTGGTTCTCAACCTTTGTTGTGTATGTATGTCAAATATAATAGCCAAGTTGAAGAGTTTTGTTGTTCTATTCGAATTGTAGTTTTATATCTAACCCAGGCCTAACAGACAATCAACGATGTAGAACAGTGGTTCACAACCTTTTTTGTGTATGTATGTCAAATATAATAGCCAAGTTGAAGAGTTTTGTTGTTCTATTCGAATTGTAGTTTTATATCTAACCCAGGCCTAACAGACAATCAACGATGTAGAACAGTGGTTCTCAACCTTTGTTGCGTATGTATGTTAAATATAATAGCCAAGTTGATGGACAGTTTTGTTCTATTTGAATTGTAATTTTATACCTAACGCAGACCTAACAGAAAATAAGCAGTGGTTCTCAACCTTTGTTGCGTATGTATGTTAAATATAATAGCCAAGTTGATAAACAGTTTTATTCTATTCGAATTGTAGTTGTATATCTAACCGAGGCCCAACAGGCAATCAACGATATAGAACAGTGGTTCTCAACCTTTGTTGCGTATGTATGTTAAATATAATAGCCAAGTTGATGGACAGTTTTGTTCTATTCGAATTGTAGTTTTTACCTAACGCAGACCTAACAGAAAATCAACAGTGGTTCTCAACCTTTGTTGCGTATGTATGTTAAATATAATAGCCAAGTTGAACAGTTTTATTGTTCTATTCGAATTGTAGTTTTACATTTAACCAAGGCCTAACAGACAATCAACGATGTAGAACAGTGGTTCTCAACCTTTGTTGTGTATGTATGTTAAATATAATAGCCAAGTTGAACAGTTTTATTGTTCTATTCGAATTGTAGTTTTACATTTAACCAAGGCCTAACAGACAATCAACGATGTAGAACAGTGGTTCTCAACCTTTGTTGCGTATGTATGTTAAATATAATAGCCAAGTTGATGGACAGTTTTGTTCTATTCGAATTGTAGTTTTTACCTAACGCAGACCTAACAGAAAATCAACAGTGGTTCTCAACCTTTGTTGCGTATGTATGTTAAATATAATAGCCAAGTTGAACAGTTTTATTGTTCTATTCGAATTGTAGTTTTACATTTAACCAAGACCTAACAGACAATCAACGATGTAGAACAGTGGTTCTCAACCTTTGTTGTGTATGTATGTTAAATATAATAGCCAAGTTGAACAGTTTTATTGTTCTATTCGAATTGTAGTTTTACATTTAACCAAGGCCTAACAGACAATCAACGATGTAGAACAGTGGTTCTCAACCTTTGTTGCGTATGTATGTTAAATATAATAGCCAAGTTGATGGACAGTTTTGTTCTATTCGAATTGTAGTTTTTACCTAACGCAGACCTAACAGAAAATCAACAGTGGTTCTCAACCTTTGTTGCGTATGTATGTTAAATATAATAGCCAAGTTGAACAGTTTTATTGTTCTATTCGAATTGTAGTTTTACATTTAACCAAGACCTAACAGACAATCAACGATGTAGAACAGTGGTTCTCAACCTTTGTTGTGTATGTATGTTAAATATAATAGCCAAGTTGAATAGTTTCGTTGTTCTATTCGAATTGTAGTTTTATATCTAACCCAGGCCTAACAGACAATCAAGAATGTAGAACAGTGGTTCTCAACCTTTGTTGCGTATGTATGTTAAATATAATAGCCAAGTTGATGGACGGTTTTGTTCTATTTGAATTGTAATTTTATACCTAACGCAGACCTAACAGAAAATAAGCAGTGGTTCTCAACCTTTGTTGCGTATGTATGTTAAATATAATAGCCAAGTTGAACAGTTTTATTGTTCTATTCGAATTGTAGTTTTACATTTAACCAAGGCCTAACAGACAATCAACGATGTAGAACAGTGGTTCTCAACCTTTGTTGTGTATGTATGTTAAATATAATAGCCAAGTTGATGAACAGTTTTGTTCTATTCGAATTGTAGACCTAACCCAGATCTAACAGACAATCAACGATATAGAACAGTGTTTCTCAACCTTTGTTGCGTATATATGTTAAATATAATAGCCAAGTTGTACAGTTTTGTTGTTCTATTGAAATTGTAGACCTAGCCCAGCTCTAACAGTCAATCAACGATGTAGGACAGTGGTTCTCAACCTTAGTAGTGTATATGTATTAAATATAATAGACAAGTTGAACAGTTTTGGTGTTCTATCTAACCCAAGCCTAACAGACAATCAACGATATTGAACAGTGTTTCTCAACTTTTTCTCAGTTACATTCACCATGATATCACAGAGAAATATAGCACAATTCAAATTAAGTATAATTTAAAAATTCAAATAGGCAAGTTTACTTTCTATGTACATTTTTTAAGTAGTCATGTGCCTCATAATTGACTTAATTCCGGAAATGTTAGAATAACGATAATTAAATGATAACATTCGAATTTCCAAATAATAGCATTTCAATGATGAAATCCGATTAATAATAATGAAATACCGACAGTCGTATAACGGTATACGAACAGTGATAAATCAAATAGTAATATTTGTATAATCAAATTGAAAATTAATTCCTAGTGCTCGAACGTTGTCTTGTAAGATAAAATGGCCGCGAAAGGAAGGTACAGGGGTCGTTCAATAAGTGCTTAGAAAATCCAAAACTTGGGTCCCGTAGCATCGAAAATAACGTGTTTCACTGTTCAACTTGAAAATTTTGATATCTAAATAAAATTGTTGTTTAGAATCGTCTCAGCTACCCCACATTTCCGGTTCTTACACTATTTACGGGACACCCTGTATATCAGTGTTTCCCAATACTAATTTGATTAGTTAATTAATTTAACAAAGCTTCCTAAAATCAGTACAGTAATGAAAAGGTACGAGGGTCGTTCGATAAATCCTTAGAAAAAGACTGAAAAGCAAGTTATTTTAGTTATTTTACTTTCTTATATTAGTTTCTAATAACCCATACAGCAAAATTATATAAACAACGAAGAAGATATGTTTTATAAAACTGTTTCGATAGCAATACACAGGCACGGGAATTCCCCGCGATCCACTGGCGAGCTTTGCTTGGGGATTCCCCTACTGTCGACCAGTACTCCAACGTAAAGCGCCATCGTGCGGCTTTAATACGATGCGACGGAATGATCTACTATTTTACAGTCACGAAGTAGACGAAACAAAGATTTAATGGGTATTATACATTCTAAAAGGTACAAAAAAGGCTATAAGTATTTTCACAAATTTTTGAATAATGTATAATACTGTTTAACACGTTCACTGGCAGACCAAAACCGTATAATATTCTGAAAAAGTAAAATTTTCATTTCAGACCATTGTAAGCTACATAACCTAATATTTGTTTCAGCACTTATTTTTGTAACCTTGTTAAAATTCATAAGTTCTATCCAAATTTATTCTTTTCAGCGTCTTACATTGAGAATAAATTTTTTCTAGACATTTATCTTTCAAAATTTAACAGTACATTCTTAAATATAAATACTTTCAAAAAATGAAATAAAAAAAAAAGAAATTGATTTTTTTTAGGTCTCGCATGGGACTCCCCCCTTAAGCGTGACACATTTATTTTTTAGATGACTTAAAAAAGTTGGAAAAACACTTGGAGAAGTGTATAGAGCTAAAAGGAGGTTATGTTGAAAAATAACAAAAACTAAAATAATTTGCTTTTCTGTCTTTTTCCAAGGACTTTAGGAGATTTTAGGAGACTTCGTTAAATTAATTAACTAATCAAATTAGTATTTGGAAACACTGATATACAGGGTGTCCCATAAATAGTGTAAGAACCGTAAATGTGGAATGAGACGATTCCGAACAGCAATTTCCCCTGCAAAAATGTCGAACGTTAAATATCAAAATTTTCAAGTTAAAATGAAATTTGATTAAATTGGTTCGAACAAACAAACAAATAAGGCATTAGTATAATTACTGTTTGGCAACTAGACGCGATCGCTCGACTAATCGAACATTAATTCAACGTCTGTGACCGTTGGTTTCGAAATTTTGCCAAAAACTAATTGCACGTGCTCGCCCTTATTGGCTCGCGAATTATTCCGAAGATCGAAGGTGCGAAAATACATAGTCTCGGAAAAGTAGCATAGTTAATTCCAAACCAATTAATCAAGTCTAAATTCGGGATCTCTTCGACGATACGAGGATTGATTAAAATTTTATAGTGAGATCGAAATTGGTCTGGTAACTTTGTATTGGTAAGAATGTGTCGCGCGAGGCCAGAGCCCCCTGGCGGTGATTTTTGTTCTGTACGTTCGTTATTATCGTTGACGCTATGAGGCCACGCGCAGTGCGCGAGATTAAGTGTATCATTAGAGTTCAAACTATATTTACAAATACAAGATAAAGGATTATTATTTACGCGATAATATTATTATTTTCTGTCAAAATTTAATTTAACTTTTAAATTTTAATCTCGAGAAACGTTAAGGTGTGAGAAGGTTTCGTTAGGTCTGAAGAAGAAAACGTGTTGGGAACGGTGATAAATTCGATCGAGAATGGTGGTTCCCCGAATTTTACAGTTTTCACAGCCTCTATACGGCCGAGCATGTTTCTTGGCACGGGTTTCAAAATAACGAGGCGAAACTCGTGACCGAGTGATCGCCTACGGTTTGGATACCTATCGAATATCCAAACATTCTCAAAACACCGGAACGATCGTAATTCGTAACCCACTTTTCGAAACTGTTCACTTTCCATCGCCAAACCACGAGTCATCGAGAGAAATATG